AGTCGGTGCGCCGTCCCCGTGTGTGTCAGCTGTGCTCGGGCCGTTGATGGTCTCTCGTGTCACTTCGCGCCAGGCGACGGTGCTTATGGGCAGAAGCTTTGCAATCGAGTACTTCATGGACTGGTGGGCGGGGAACAGGGGTGGGTGGGGCGACGTCTGGGGTCACGGGGCCGGGTGATGGGAGGGAGCGGCTGCAGCTGCCACGCGAGGCGCCCCGCCCCCCGGCAGCCAGCGCCGTGCATCTCGGAGGGCAACCAGCTGCTGTGCAGACGCGCCGCCCGCCCGCCGCGGCGCCGCGCCTGCCGACGGCCCCTGCGCCCGCAAACTGCGCTCGATGCCCGCCCGACAGTTGCCCGCTGCGCCGCGCCGCCGCGCCACACGCAGGTACCCCGAGCCGTTTTGGGGGACGCCCCTGGTGACGCGGCTGGCGAGCCGGCTCGCCTGGACCTGGATCATCACGCAGGCCATGATGGCGGGCGCCGCCATGGTAGGCGCCCCGCGACACGCGGCCGTGCCGGCGGCGGCCTCCTGGGGATCCACGGGCGGCCTGCCTGCGCTGCGCCCACTGCCTGTTTGCCACACAGCCACACGCTCCACAGGGCCTGGGCGCGCCCCGGCCTCCGCCCAGCCGCACGTGCCGCCCAGCGGCGCGACCGCTGACATCAGCGCCCCGCCCCGCCCCCGCGGCCGCCCGCGCGCCGCGGCGCCGCCCAGGTGGTCGCCTTTGTTGGCAGCAGCGACCAGGCCCTCTACATAACAATGAACTACGTGCTGCAGCTCGTGCCGCTCGCAATCTCCATCATCGCCACCGTCGTCTACCCGAAAGTGCTCAAGCGTCGCTGGGGGTACGACCCGTCAGACCCCTCGACTGGATACCCCCCAGAAGACCGCGCCACCCTCGACGCGGGCCTGCTGCACGTCGGCGGCGCTGGTGGCGGCAAGCTAGGCCGCGTGGGCAGTACGCGCCCGCTGCTGGGCAGCTGGCTGCTGCTCGGGCACGGGCGCAGCGGCGACGCGCTCGCCGGCGCGGAGGCGGGGCTGCGGCCCGAGGCGGGGGCGGGTGACACTGAGGATGCGGCGGTTGTTATAGGGCCGGCGCAGGCGCCCGTGCGTCGCGGGGAGCCGAGGGTCAGTGCATCAGCCAGCTTCCCCGCAGCCGGAGAGCGGCCGCCGCAGTCGCCCCACGCGGCGCCCGCCGCCGCCCACTCGCACTCGACATGAGGGGCGGCGGGTGTGGCTGCGGGCGCGCACCCCAAGACCCCTGCCGCTCGTCGCGGCCGCACCCGGCGGCTGCCGCCTTCCCTTGCCAAGACGCCTGCTCCGTTCCTGCATCAGCACTTGGCGCCCTCCTCTGAATTGCAATCGCCGGACCTGAATCATGCACCCCAATCACCCTGGCAAGGACGCCAATCCTACAGAGGCATCCCCTCACCAGCAGCTGTGCCCAAACACCTTGCTTGCCCACCCTTTTCGCACTGCGTATGCCGGCCAGCCCCTCCACATCAGCATTGCACCGAGCCTCCGCCGCGTGCCGGCGGCGGACATGCTACGCGCCACCGCCCCGGCGACCCCCCAAGGCCCCCTCCTTATTGAGTGGTGCACAAGAACCACAGAGCCTCGACAAAGAGTGTATTTTTTGCAGGGCGATGAGCACAGGGACTGATGATAGCAACACGCTGCAACATGCCACCTGTACTGGTGCAGCCGCTGCCGCCGCCGACGCCGCTGCTGCTGTCGCTGCAGCCGCAGCTGCTGCTTGCTGGAGGTAGACAACCTGACGTGGCGTCCTGGTACCCCGTTGACTAAGTATACAAGCACCCACGGCGCCACATGGCCAATGCTCAGTAACTAGTGGGGTTGCGCGGAGGCTTACATGCCAGGGCCAACTGCTGACGCTGGCACTGAGGGGTGCAGGATGCCCGGGGTCCAGCGCCCCTGGCCGGGCGGCGCGGGGGCCGTGGACGCCTTGCGATGGAGCGCGCCGCGGCCGCGCGAAGTTGGTAGGGGAAAAACGGGTGCTTTGAAAGCAGCAGGAAGGGACTGTCATGGCCGCCTGTCATGCTCAGCGCAGGAAGACGGCGGGAGCGGCAGACACTGGCAGGAAAGCAGAGGGCGGAAAGCTGCAAGGGCGTACGGCGAGATGAGACGCAAGTGCACAGGGAGGGAGAACGACAGGGGCTGGTTCTGAATTTGCGTGGGGCGGAAAAAGCGCAGGTTGCTATTTGTGAAAGGATACAAAGGTCTACAAAGGGGCGGCTCCTTATACATCGCAGCTCACTGGGGGCCAAGGGAGGGGCCGCCACACGCAGCGCAGCGGGGGCCTTTAGCGCAGCACGCTGCGCGGGGCCGAGCAGCCGACGCCGGCCGCCGCCGCTGCTGCGGCG